TGTTTGTATGCAGACCTGAGCAGTGTTTAAGATACGCTTTGCATAGCGAAGCCTAAACATATGCCCTAAAAGTACCATTTTTTTTTTTAAATACTGTTTTTTTTTCGAACAATAACGAGAGAACCAGCGCTAAAAGGACAAAAGGAAGGCCGTAAATAGGATGGGGGGATCCATATGAATGCCTACATGGAACAAATTGGATGAGGAAGGAACGAAAAAAGGAAAAGCGGAGAAATTATCAGCTGCAGTGATGGTGAGAAGAAACGCAACGATGAAACACTATCTAGACAACGTATCAAAGTAAAATAAACAGAGATGAAAGCACGGAAATGAACTGATTTGTGGATTTTCCAGCCTACATTTCCCCCCAAACAGAATGCGCTGCTATTTGAGCAATTATGCCTTCTTTTTCCTAGGCTGCTTCAGAAGAAAGCTAAAGAATGCCCTTCGCCCCCCGCCCTCCCCCCAGAATGAGACATGCCATCCATCACCAAAGCAAATCATCGACGAAAATGTGCTTCAAAAGTAATATTCAGGATGTCGGCAAATGCATGGATAGAGGAAGAAAGTAAAAAAGCAAAAAATCAAAAACAAATTTGGAAAATATTTTTTGCTAGAAAAGGAAATATTAAAAAAAAATTACTTTTCAACTCCAATTAGAGTAGCTGCATCAAACGCCTTACGACAGTTCTCACGGCGATTGCAGTGGGAATCCGTGAAATCCAGCCTCGCGAATGGACCGATTAAATCGGGCCGGTAACGATGAATAATTGCACAGAAAGCAAGACCCGAGCGAAAACTTTTGCTGAAAACGAATTATATGAGAATGCGTAACAAGTGCTGAAGCTCACTAGAACTTGTCGTATCAGCAGGTTAATCTGAGTAGACGGAAGCAGTAGCACTTTGTGCTTTGCGCTTAGAAGTATCCCATTTTAAAAACAATGCAGAACAAACTGCACCATAACGAAGGTCTTTTTTATTGAGACTTACGTGAAATCTGTTATTTTGACCGAAGGATATTCCTTGGTAACCCTTTGGCACCAAGTGAGAAGATCTTCGCCTTCAACAACAGCAGGCAGTGCCTTCGTTCTTTCTTCCACACTCAATTCCGGGACTTCAGACGCCTTTTTCTGAAAGGCTGCGTCGGCAACATCGACTTTTGTAGCTTCTCTGCAAATTAATTTCTAGAAAAAAAAACAAGCACACAGTGAGTGAAGATGCAAAAAAACAATGGCCGCTTAGCGTACCCTTCAGCGCTCTTTCGAAAGAAGCAAAAGCCAAACTTGGAAAATCGCTCAATGCGTTAAAAAGGGAAATCACCAAAATGGTCACAGCATCACTAGGACTTACGAGAATCTTATCAGTTGGCTCTGCGGTTACTAACAGGAGGGACGGGGGGAGGGGGCAGGGGAGGAGGGGAAAAAAACGAACTTTGCATTTGAGAGCTGTTGAGGTGCTATATCAGTGACGGCTGCATGGGATCCAATTAACGTTCCACCGTTCTCTGCTTCGATTTGTTTCACTTCTACAGGTGGCACTAAAAATATAAAAGTGTTGAAAGAGGACGGAAAAAAAAAAAGTTAGAAATAACGTACCAAAGCGCACTTTTTACTAAATTTCGCTATTTTCTTTTGCAATGGTTCAGCGTCGTGTCAGCATCGTTATTTTCAATTATTTCGCAGCTAATTTTTCGATTTTTAAAGATGCAAGCGCTTGAACTTCGGAAAGAAATCCCACTCCGGCATTTTATCGCATTCGCCAACTAAGCAGTGTTGAAATACGATGGAAAAAATAACAGACATAGTAGTTCCACACTGCGGAACAGACAAACTGCCGCATTTTTTTTTTCTTTTTTTGATTAAGCCTAAGCGGTATTTTTTACCGCTCCAGGAGTACAAGAGCAAATGATAAGGGTAAATCGATTAGAATCTAAACGATCACGTATGGCAGACCAGTGATTGCTCATGCCGTACGTGGCGGCCTACAAAGCACCAAAAAGCCCCTCAATTTCTAGATATTATAGTTAGCAAGATGCTTATTCTCTTAATTTTCCAACTGGCGCATTCAGTAAACACAGCAAAATACCGGGCTTTTTTTCTTTAATCTTTGTGTCATCTTCGGCAGTTGCGCAATACAGTTCATCAAAGAATTTTTCGCGTAAATTCAGCATTCCATTGTTTCTCATAGCATCATCCATTTTCGACGCTAATTCGACCGGTTTTTCTTCTGCACTTGTTTTTCGCCTTCCAACTTCATTCAAATTTACCGAATAACTCGTCACAACTACACTGTCTAAAATCCAATAAATGGCCAGCGCACCTAGTGCCGGTACGAAGATGCGTTTTTTGCATGGTTTCCCGCAGATTTTTCTCGCTGACGCCACTATTTTTTTTCTGGCAGATGATTCTAGCCAAAAGAACTGAGACTGGTCGCCAGGACCGTCAGGAAACA